ATTGGTCTGTGCATGAGCGAAGCAGGAAAATTCCCGGGCCGAGTTGATGAGGGTGGCCAAGTTGCTGCAATAGGGAAGGGATTGGGGCTTCGCGGTCAACAATAGCAAGTCTGCTGAGAGCATCGCCGCCATACATCCCGCAGGCGGCGACAGAGGCGGGTTTGGACAGGCTGCAATGGGTGTGTAAGGAGGGGGGGGGGAGAGAGCAAGGGCAACATACCAGAGCAAAACAATTGAGAAATGCAGTGATAGTGGCAACAGCGACCAACAAGATTGCTGCGGAAACTGACGTGGTGGTGGGGAGGCGAGGCATAAGAGCGTCGAGAGCAACAACAGGGAGAAGGCCGAGCATTCTACTGTCCAGCACGCCCTCTGCGAAGCTGCCAAGGTAGACACAAGAAAGGGACATGTGCTTTGTAATAGGGCTCCAAGCAATGCTATTGACGTGTAAGCCGGTTGCCGCTGGTAGGTGGAAAAAAGGCGGAGATGAATGATAAAGCAGCCAGGCGGGAACAAGCCAGGCGCAACCGCGGCTGACCAGGCACAAACAATTGCAAAGAGGGGAGAGCGCGTAAACAATGTCATTACAACATGAATTGAAAGCACAATGGGAGGAAAAGGTGAAGGTTGATCAGCATCTGGAACAACAGCACTAGCAATGCAATCTCGCTAACGGAGTAAAGTCGGGAATACGTAAAGAAGCTTATCATCCTCAACTGCATGAACTCGCACGAGTACAAATGGTAGTTTCCCGCCTTTTTCTACGAAAATCAGGTCTATTGCTGCTGCATGCGCCTTGCCCTTTTTTTTCTTCTGCACAACTGCCATATTGTAGAATTACGCGTGAGCTGGCTAACAGGAATAATGAGCTGTTTTTGTGTGTGTAATTGAGGCATCCAACTCCTCGGTTATGCCCCTCCTATCCCCAGAATAAAAATCTTGATCCGCAAAAAAAAAAGGTTTGTCGCTCCCCAAATACTCCGGGCTTTTTTTTTTTTTTTTGCTAATACTTACTGCTATAAGCTAGTAGGGAAAAAAAGCCGCCCTCCCCTTTCTGGGTACACGTAGGCAATGAATGTTATTGAGGATTCCAAGCAATTGCCTTTACTTTTTTTGCTCACGCCCTCCCCAATAAGTACAGCTGGGGTGGGTGGCAAATATTAGCTGTTTATTTCCAGCAATATGAGGGATGGGATATCAAAAATAAAAATAAAAACGCGATCTCTGGATAAATAGTAGCAGCGTGTAAGGAAGTAATAGCAACAACAGCACAAGAATAAAATTAGCAAAGTGGAAAAGAACAAGAAAATGGAAAAAAAAATTAACGCTACACGCGCCTTGTATTCTGCAATGCCTGATAGGGGGTGGCGGGACAGTGCAAAGTTCCTTAAGCTTTATGCTAGGATTGTGGAAAAATGCTATTTTATTGGCACCAAGAAGCCTTCCCCCCCCCTTCGTTGCTATTGCTTCTGCATCCCCAATACAAACACTTCCAAGGGAGCATGTCGTAAGAATTGTTATCTGCAAATTGCATATCGTTGCTAGAAAAGGAGCCACACTCTTAGGTTGGTTTTGTTTGTCCACCGTACCTTCCAGTACCACTTGGCCTAGGAAGGCAGAGGAATATTTAAATTTAGCGCGCCGTTATAGCGTTTACCTGCTGCCGAGATTGCATGTCCGCCAATCCACTTGAAACCCGACTGCAATGGCTGTGCTTTTTTTTGCATTCCAAAATGCACACTCTTTCATCCCCACCCAGCCACCAGTAAGGCTTGGAACGTAACTCTTTCGCGCTACTCTTTGCATGACGCCGTGCCAGCCTCTCCGCGAATAGCCCCGGCTGCAGCCAATATTTTTTCCGACTTTAACGCGAGGCCAGGCACATGTTGGCTTTTTTTTTTTTGTAGCCCCTGAGCTCTCCCACATGCGCGTCAATTGCCTGGTCCCAAGGATCGACTCTGATTTACATTGGATAAGTCAATCGTTCCAGCTCTTGCAAACCAGAAAAGACGTCACTATGTTTATACTTCATACTTCCATGCTAGAGTAGTGCATCGGATTTTTTTGGCCTATCACATATCTATCCTATTCTCCTTTGTACCCAAGCTTATAAAGAAATTGCTCGTTAGCCTCTAAGCTTCCAGGGGCCTCAAGGCATGGCGAGCTTATCTTTTCCTCCCTGGTAAGGGGAAAATGCGCCTTGCTATGCCGTCATTTTTCCCCATTTGTATATTTTCCCATTGGCACCCTGGCCTCTCTGCACCCTTATCTGCTTTCTGTATCGAAGACTCACGCCATTTAAGAAAGGGTGTGTGGATTCCATGCAGACTAACTGCAACATGCCAATCATTTATGCTTTCTTACCCAGCTGTGCCACTGCAGCAAAATAATAATAATAATACGCCCAGTAGATCCTTACCCACCCAAATGTACTCCAATTCCACATTCAGCAAATTAAAGTCACCCGTTTCCTAGTTTCCATGCAACTACAAAAAAGTGCGCAAAAAATAAGTCTGTCATTTCTGCGGTGTAGGCGTGCACCATTTGTTGGAAACAGAGCAAAAAAAAAAAAAAAAAAAAAAAACACCGACAAACAAAAACCTTGCTTAAATTGGAAATAGCCGCTGCGGAACTCCGCTGGTACTTTGTTTATGTCAAGCCATGTTTATACGCAAATGGGGGGGGGGCTGAGTTTACACCAGTAATGGTGAGTCTATAACTGCAAACCCAGCAGCTACGCCGCCCTCATGCACATTCGATGCCTTTGTACGAAGAAGATGCCCGCCATGTCGATTGACCACCATATCGCCCTTACTGTCGCTACAGAGTCATAGAAAACCCTCCAAACAAACAAATGCAAGAAAATCAACTTTTGTATGTCGCTGCTTTCCGCTATTTCGAGATAACCATAGATTACCGAAGGCTGTGGCAAAATAACATACATGTGACCAACTCTGGAAAAAAAAAATACCTGGAATCCCAAGATCCACTAGTCTTACCTCACCCAAATGCCGTATATTCCCAGCTCGCTTACCACCTCTGCTGGAACAAGCTGTCCGTTACGTAGGAGCATGCTGTCGAATCCTGGCGCCTTGATAAGCTCCATAAGAATGTAACCCCTTCTCTCCTCTACAGACATTCCGCATAAAAGCTTTGGAATGTCCTCTCCATAAGAATTGTATCCTCCTCCCTCGCGCTGCGGTTTAGCCACGTAATTGGCTGGAGACTTAAGCGCCATCTCATACGCCTGCTGACCCTCCTCGCTATCGTCCAGAGGATACAACCCAACAAAACATTCGCGCACTCGTCTAGCCGTTTCTTCATCGCTCACAAACCTACCTCACAGAATCCAAAAATTGCTGTAACAACAGCTGCATGTATAGTTAATCATGTATGTGTAGATTGGATAGAAAAGGAAAATACTGCAGATATTGTCATGCTCTTCTTACCTCTCAACAACTCCGGGCTGTGCCAGTACCTGCTGGATCTTTTTGCAGCCCGCTAGATGGTACGCTAGGTTGGGAATCGGGATTGCGCGACTCTTCTCTACCAGCCATCTGCCTTCCCATTCTTTCTCAGTGGGAAAGTCCGTGGGCGCATAACCTGCACGATAATAAGCGACTGCAATCTCTGTATCTCCTCTACAGAAAAAAAAACAGCAGCGAAAATACAATACAGTGCTTAGATTAATGTCTATGACCTCATATCAAGTTTCCACAGACATCCTGTGAGTAGCCAGACATATTGAACTTACGCAAAAAGTCGATTGTCCTCGCGGATGCTGCACTGATCCAGGATATCCGCAAATGATAGCCGCACAACCCGGATATTATGCCTATCAATATAAGAATTGTCATGACAGCAGAAAAAAAAAAAACATAGTTCAACCAATCCAGCTCCAATGCTCAGTGACGTGTTTGTTTATGGATAATGCAATATCCATTAGTTTGTTGTTTACATATCCGTCAACAAATTGCTCGATAATTTCTAGAAACATACCTTTTCCAAAGCCTCTCTTCAATCCACCGTTGATCATAAACATTGCGCTCGTCTGGTTGGATAACCATTGCCACTACCGCACTACACGAAGAAAATACCGCAAAACTCCCATTTTTTCAATTAGCAATTCGTTAGATACAATACAGATGCCTCAGCTAAAAAAAATAATAATACTTACCTTGGAGTACCATACAGCTCAAATCCTACTGCAATTCCATCACCAATACTTGTCAGAGATTCATTCTCAGGTAGCTGATTCATCTCCACCTGCCCTTCTTTCAGTAGGCCCTGAAATCCTGTCCGCTCTAGCATAAATCTGTGAAAATCACCAACAATTGCAGAAAGCGATGCAAAAGATGACGCAATAGTGTTAAATTCGACTTGTTTTGCCTGAGGACTGGCATCTGGTTCGTTTGCTGGTGCATGGATGAGGTAGTCCGAGCGGTGAATCCCAACAACTGCCGGCTTTTCCACCTTCATCACATACTGCTTCATATACATAGAAAATATCCGCGTGGTAAACTCATCCGCTGTTCCTAAACTCTCCAGTGTGCTGACCAAAAAGTCGTGGTCCCTAGCAATAGAGTCAAACAGTTGGTTAAGCACAGGTTGTAGTGCCACCACCTTTTCAAACTCCGCGCGCGGAATAGGACTTGGTGCTAGTGATACTGGTGCTGGAACAAGCGCTGTCTGCACCCAATCTGCGTTGCTAATCGCATGACTGAGCTTTGGTGCCTGCATCAACAATCCGTGCGTAGCCTCCCAGTCTATAGCCATATCCACACTGCCACGCAGCTCCTTAACATCCTGGGTATAGCGTGGTCTCAGCGAGAGAAACTCACTATTGGTTTTCGCGAATTTGTTAATTTGTCTAAACATTCTTATCATAAACTGAAGAAAAAAAGGCTAAAAATGCATCAAACGGAAAAAGCTGCAGAAAAAGGAAACCAATTTGTCAGCAACTCTAGCTGTTCTTGAATAGAATAAAAAGAAAAAAGATGTGCAACGGCCGGGAATCGAACCCGGGTCGGCCGCGTGGCAGGCGACCATGATACCTCTACACCACCGTTGCGCTCAACTATTCAAGTTTTAGAACTGATTAATCAACTCTGAAAGTCAAGAGTTACGTGTTTAGACAATCCAAATCCGCTAATTATTATCCATAGCATCCGTAAATGGAGCTTACCCACATTTGAAGTCAGAATCATCCTTTTCAAGCAATCCGCAAAAGATTTTTGGCCATTTTCTTGCTCTGTTTCCCAGCACAAAAGAAGACATCTTTAAAGGTTTTGCTGACCTTTCCATATTTTTCTTTAATCTTTTGTACTTTAAAGCTTTTCAGCTAAAATATAATACTTTTCTTTTGGCAGGTCTTTTATTGAAAGAGTGTTTATTGTTGCTTTTTTCTCAACCTCTTGTTAATGGGAAAGCAAGTCTTTAAAATGTATTTTTAAAAAATAAATTACCTTTATCTTGACTTGCATGCAATACATTTTGCATTTTCCTTGTTTAGTTCTAAAAGCTAGTTTTATGTCGCATTTATTTTCTATTCACAAGTTTATTTGTAGTGTTTTTTTTCATAGCAAGTAATTTACCAAACTGCTTATTATGAAGCTAGCAATAAGTTCAAGCATTCGCCAACTCTTAAACATGTCAGATGTAGCTAATCCTCACAAACAAAATGTCGAGCCTGTATCTATTTATGACAAGCCAATAAATTATCTATGCAGCGATGTGTTGTCAATGATATTAGCGTATTCAGTAAATCCACAGCCATCTGGAATACATGAATGGAAAAATGATCTAGTATTGTTAGCTGTCTGTCGCTACTGGAGAGAGGTAGCAATGCCACATGTGTACAAGCATGTATTTCTATCCATTCACAGTTCAAAGACAAAAGGTCACAATATATTGGACAAGCTTGCATTTCGCAGATTAACAGAGACTATATGCTCAACCAACGCTAAACTGATATCGTCTAAAAGAAAAGAGCATCTAGCAAGAACCATGTGTATATCAATATATAAGCCTATCTCGTCGATGCTATTATATAAGCAAATAGTAGATGCACTAAATTTTCAAGTAAATCAATGGCCAAATGTCAGAAAACTAGCATTGGTATTTGGACCGGGTATTATACAACATATAAATATAGAGTTTGCTGATCCAATAAACTTTGTAAACATTTTTGCTAAAAGTGTTCCAAATCTTCAAGCAATGGATGTTGCCGTATTAGATTTAGGATTAAAACACCAAAGCAAGCTTTTAGATGCACTTTCTGATAAATATTTGCATCGACTGAAAATGTTTACAGCAGATGTTGATCTGCATTTGCTCCAACCTCAGTTTTCAGATCAACTTACAAGTCTAAAAATATCGATGACACCTATGGCAATACAATTACTGCCTAGGATTAGTCCAATGCTGCTAAGACAATTGTCTTTATTTGATGTTACTACAAACTTTTCATGGAATATCTTTGAAAGCGTTAATAATTCAAATGTACTAGCATTTTCTCATCTCACAGATCTTAGTATCGGCTATTCGCACAATAAAGGACAAGATGCTAATGATGAGCAAATATCTGAATACCCATTAGAAGTAAATACCATTCAACTACATTTTCCGGTATTGCGAAATCTAAATCTATTTCGATGTCCATCCAACTGCAGATTGCTAACTAAAGACATTTATCCTAGTAAGCTAGACAAGATTATAATTGAAAGTTGCTCTGGAATAGGAACAATAGAAAAGTTAAAAACACTTGTTCCAAGCAAAAAATTGTTTATACTTATGACAGATATTGAAGATGGTTCTGCCAATAGATATTACTCTGCAACAAATAGAATATTCGATAACAAGGATGTTTCAGAAAAACCATCGTTAATTGTTTTTCACAAACATTTGGTTCCTAATCCAGAGCTTATTAGATGGTCTGCTCTTTCTTGTTTATCAATACGCGCATTTGCGACTACCAAAATAGTACTAAACCTATTACTAAAGCTACCAAACTTAGATCGTCTAACAGCCACATGTCTGATATCTAATCATAATCGAAACGAATTTTGTCTTCCAATTTCACAAAAACTTCAAGACAGTCCACAAAACTATATTAAATCAAAGGTGGTTAATATGCATCTGGCGTTTGCACTTGACACAAAACCATCTGGAAAAGACGTAGAGTTTATAATCTATCTACTATTGGGTATAGCAACGCTGGAGACACTAAGGATTACCCCTGCATTAAAAAATATGATGACGAGTCTAATAAGCAAGAAATCCAAAAATCGCTTGAACGATCTTAAAAGAAAACTGATAACAACAGAGCAATTCTAATATATATAGTATTTATAAAGCTTTTTTTGTTAAAATAGTTTTAGTAAACTTTTTACACACTTAATTTACTCGTTAACAAGTTAAACTGGTATATTACTTTTTGGATAAAACATATTAGTGTTTGTCGCATATAGTACTTATAGTTATCTAGAATTCGACACTTTATAAAAGCGTGCATAAGCAGCAGTTAAAAAAAACTTTAAAATGTTACCAACATGTGAAAGCAAAGAAAAAAGCAAAGAAAAAGCAAAGACTAAGACACATATGTTAAAAACGACTATGCTAGCAGAGTACAACACATCACACGGCTTTTTTTTTTAGACAATACAAGCAGTACTGCCTAGAGAAATTATTGCTGGGCATCTAAAAGAAATGTTTCTTTATATTAAGAAATCCTGAGATTGTCTAAATTTGCTTATTTTTAACCGGTCTTAATACATTAGATGACAGTCACTCTCAAACCTGTGCCAAGAAGTCTAAAAAGCGAGCTATAGCTAAAGTATACGCACACAATTAAAAGCTGTTTTTTTTTTTACTTAATGTCAGAGATTCACTTTTATGCGTTGCTTATTAACTAGTATTTCTACTCAGACTAGTAAACTTGCAATGTACACTAATATTATATGTTTTTCAATTTGCATGCTGGTCATGGCAAATATTCATCCAACACAGGCACATACAACATTATTTTATGCAGGTGCCAATGGAAAACTAGAAGGACGAGATGTCTGCATTGTTCCAAGTAAAGATTATCAGAACGCACCAATCAAGGACTTGAAATCGACAGATCTTCGTTGCAGAACCAAAGACATATCGACCACATCTATTAAGAAATGTCCAGTTACAGCTGGTGAAACATTATCAGTAGAGTGGCATCATATTGAAAACTCTGTTAGTGTAGATGTAATGTCTCCATCACATGTCGGACCATGCATAATATATATGGCACCACTGGAAAGCAATGGTGAAGGAGATGTATGGTTTAAAATATTTGAAGAAGGGTATGATAAATCTTCAAAAAAGTGGTGTACAAACAAAGTAATTGATAATAATGGTAGATTAGAAATTCCAATACCAAGTAATATACTAAGTGGAGATTATTTAGTGAGAACAGAACTTTTGGCACTTCATCAAGCCAAAAGTGAAGGTGGAGCTCAGTTTTATCCTAACTGTGTGGTGATAAATGTAGAAAATGGAAAAAATGTTTCCTTGCCCAAGCGTTATGCAATTCCAGGAATATACGACCCAAAGGATCCGGGAATTTTATACGATCGCAGCAGTGATCCAACAATGTACGTTATACCTGGACCTGCAATAGATAGTGATGATAAAGCTCATAATACTGACGCTGAATCAGACTCTGAATCGGCTAAAATATCCGAGTCAAACTCTGACACAGAAGAAGAGCCAAGTCCCACCTCTGATTTGCCAAAAAGCAATTGTCGTAAGCGTAGAAATGGAAATGTCCGTAGAAAGATAGACCAAGGAAAACCGTAATCTGCATATGTCGCTTATAGAATTTGTGTTTGCTTAAAAATTCTAAACAATTAATTGTCACAATTTTAATATATTTTATGCTTTGGCGCTCACCTTTAAGCAACCTCCAAAATTTTACGATATCCCTTTTAAATCCTATCTCAATGTCAGAGTAGTAGGCCAAAAAAAACAGGATCGAATTGCAAGAGGTTTAGCTTGGTGACTAAAATTGCTTACATATGGCAGCTTTGTAAGTATAGTCATAAACCCTAACTATTAATTATATTTGAAAGCAGCTTATCCGCTCTTATGCAGTTGCACATATAAATTAACATACATTATCGAAAGATTCGATTTAGCTGTTATTATTCAAGCAAATATCCATTTAAAGTGCTATTATACGACCACTACATTCACTATTGAATGATATATCGCTTTCTGAACAGAAATAACAGGATGTTAACCACATAAAATATCATACAGAAATTATACTACAAATCATTGCTTGGATTCTTTTCCAAGCAAGTAGCCAAAGTATGAAAGTGGCAGACGATTGGGAGCTAGATCGTCTGTATCCATCTGCATGTTTGGGGGCAGTGAAGTTTCAACACGCTTTCTATAACGCTTCCAACACAGTTGCGCAGCGTCAAAAAGACCCTTCTCCTCAAAACTGCTGACGAGTGTTTCGAGAAGCTGACGAGGAACATAGGACAGTACTGTGAAAGAGTCTTCAAATACTATGAGTGCCTCCTTTGTCAGCGATGCGTTTACCAAGCCAGTGATCACTATTGCAAATGTGTGGATATCACAGGACCCACTAGCTATAAAGTCCGTAAATTTCCAGTGATCTACTAGCGGGGTAGGACGACCAACCATATAGGCATATACGTCAATGGCTGCGTGGGGCTGCTCGGCAATAAAAAAGCCGCGAATAAGAGTGTTGGCGGTAATAGTATGTAGCGGGATGTTGGCGGCACGGACATCATTAAAAATATGAGCAGCAGTGGCCATGTCTGATCCGCGTGTAAATGCCTGCTGGAGTGCATCAAATGTCTCTGCGCTCGGATCCATGCACTCGACTTGTGTCATATGAGAGTATACTTGTTGCGCCAATCCTTGCTCCCGAGCCAGTGCAAATGTTGAAATAGCCGTGTGATAAAGCTCCCGAGGAACATTAACAAGCCGCGATATTGAGAAAAGCCGCTCAATTGCCTTGTAATATCGGTGGGTGAACTTGCGCATTTGCAGGTCATCATGTAT